GAAAAAGCCTTCAGGTAGACTGAGCCCTGTACTCTGCTACTGTAGGCAATAGCCTGATCTCCTTTATTAGTTTTTCTACTTCTGTCCTAGGAACAGTTAGGTCTTTTTGCCATCGCTGCTTGGAAGGTGGATTCATGTCATCACTTTCAATAGCATTAGAAATGTGGTACGATTGATTAGGGGAAAAAAAGGCCAGCAGTTGCCTAGAATGTTTAGTGTCATATATGCTCAATGGAGTTATAATGCATTAAATCCTGTGCACCCTGCAAAGATGCCTAATTCACTTGTAGTTTCGGAAATGCCGGGTACGGGAACATGGCTCTCCAGGTGGAGCAAATTGTCCTGTGATCAAATACTTGCCATCAAGTATTCCCTACTCTCTGTTGCTGCCGTAGTCCATCTGCAAGCAGATCTCCATAGTGTACGTGAAAATGAATGCTGAAGAAGACCTCTATCTTTAGAGCATATGCCTGCTCCCGAGTAAAATGGATGGAGGATCGGAGATAAAAAAAGACTCACTGTGACTCACTGCAGTGTAGTGTAGTTTCCTTTCAGTAATAAAATCTACCTAAATTTGGTAAGGAACTCTAGGAACTAACTGCCTTAGTTATCTACCCATTTATTTTTTCTAGATGTTTGCCCCTTGCCTCTATAGCAATTCTGTACTGTATGTTTTAGGGACTACAGAGGTAAGATTTCAGTAAGGACTGTTGTCTGGTATTCTAGATTAAGGACTTCTGCTCTTGGAAGATGGATTGGTATCATATTGTCAGTCATCTCCTTCAAAAACTGTGATGAAATTAGGAATAACAAAAGCTTTCAGAATGCTTTGGATTTTAGCGGTCTTGTATTGTGTTAGAAAATGTGAAAAAATTCATAAAATTATCAATGGTACATAATGAATTTAAATCACCAAACCTGGCTTCTGTTGGGAAGAGGTCACATTTACTATAAATCACGTATTTGCTACTCCAGAAATTGCAGTTACTCAAAATTTCTTGTCTAAGATTTTAATAAATAGTAACATTACTAGCTGCATGATGGTCTTTCTGTGGCAGTGTCTTCCTAAGAAACTTGATGATCTTCTAGGCCAGATACTGATTGGACTTTGTTTTGTTGTTTGCAGTAATGGACCAAAAAGCATTACAGTGAATGAAAGTGGACATTTTAAAGCATAATTAAGTGATCTTTAAAAAAACAAACAAACAAAAATTGTCTGTTGTTTTTTCAATTGGAATAATACAGATTTTTCCATTGCCACAAGACAAGGCCTTTTCCATCTGTGAAGATGAGAAACACAGGGAAGTAACTGAGGTCTATGAACATAAACTATAATTTATGTTTGCACAGCATTTTTAATTGAGAAATGCTATCAATTATTTCATTCTTGATTAGGCTGTAGTACTGGAAGTGAATGCACGGGTTCATCTGCCAAGTGTAAGTTAACAATATTTCCCCTTTTAATTTTATACATAAACTTTTTTTAACGTTGAGGATAACAAATCCTCACATATCTTTAATTTGAGATGAAAATTATTTTTAAAGGTTTTGGTTTTTGCTGATTCTGCTGTGTTTGCAGCATTATAGTATGCAGTCAGTTCTTGGGGAGAGTTTCTAGCACCTCTAGGATTAATTAAATTTAATTCCTGAAAATCAAGTTGACAGTTAATACAGAGGTATTGAAGATGTTGAATGTTTCAGTTTTGAAACAAATTTTTCACTACTATGCATTATATAAAAAGAAGCTCAATGAAAACATAAGACCGTGATGCAAAAGCTCATTGAACTTCATGTAAAGCATCCTATTTGGGGGCAATATATTATCCTTTACATTGTATTTAATATATTAGACCAGGAGTTCCTTAACTTTTATTCATGGGAGATCATTTCCTGTATAAGATAGCAGTTCAGAAGCTGATTAATGTCTGTGATACAAATTTTTTCTGGAGTAGAATAAACATGATTTGCAATTTTAATAGTATTTAAAAAAAAACCACAAACAAACAATAAACAAACCAAAATAATTAGGCAATATACAAAGGCTGTGTGGCCCACAAATGGTCCACAGACAACTTTCTTTGCCACGCCAACATTTTTGCTCTTTCACTACAAGATAAAACAGCTCAATCCTTCAGTACCTGTGTGAAGGTGCTAAGTAGGAAGCAGAGAACCATAAAGGCAGAAGTAGAAATGGGTCCCTTATGAGTTGAAGCTGTTAGTGAAAGTAATGATATCTTTACGTTTATGGGTTAGCAATAAAATTCCTCTTTGCAGAGGGGTAATTCAAGCTTATGCGTTATTTAAGTGTGCTATCAATGGGGCATGTTTTCATATGCTTTACATTTTAGCCAACATAAAAGCCAAAAGTCATTTTAATTCTTAGGGCAATACTTCTTCCTTTCTTTATCTCTGCTTCAGTATGTTACGCAAAATGAAATAAAATTAAATTGAAAATATTCAAAGCAGCTGTGGACTCGGCACCTGTAGTCGGATGTTAAATGTAAATGATGGAAGCATCTTTAAAATGACCTCATAAAATTATAACATTTAGTCTGCGTTTAAAGAAGTTGAATTTTCAAATTACAGATTTGCTTCCTTATAAGCATGTTATCAGAAGGCATATAAAATCATTGTCTCACTTTCATTTGTGACTCATTTATATCTAATTGGGACAGAGGGACGGATGCTCTGGTTAATCTTGTTTACATTTAAATGTACCCTTGGATGTTTTATCAAATCCAAAGAAAAGACAGTTTGTACAGAATTTGAATCAAAAGGTATCTTCAAGTTTTAACAAAATTCCTATTTAAAATAGAAAAGAGACAAACCACATCAAGATAACCGTTGTCACTTTGCCCATCATTCATGTCTAAGCTGTAAAATCATATGCTCATCTCAGATCTTTGCCAGACAAAACAGGGCACTTTTAAGACAGATAATAGCACCTTTGGTGGTGTTAGTTAAAAAACATGTTATTTGAACTATTAGTTTTATCTTTTGTTCCTAAATTTTCTCTAGTAATTTATTCTGTATGATCTATGAAATGTCCAACATGGGCACTGTCTAAGCATTTAAGGTCTGATTTTCAGTAGTGATAAGTACCTTCCACTCTATTATTAGTCGTCGTTAGCCTTAGCGGCTCCTAGCCTTAAAGGCTGGGATGAAGATTTTTCAGTGTTATGCTTGTGTCACATACGGGGTTTTCTTCACTTCTTTTGTAATACTCTGAGGCATTACTGGCAAGTACAGTTACGTCGTTGCTGTGTTTTGCCTCAGGGTGGATGAAATGATGGGTTTGTGCATGAGGGTTACGCCAAACAGAAAACAAAATTTTGACAAATCTTTGCTATTCTTGTTTAGATGGAAGGGACGGAGTGAAACTTCTACCAAAGTACAGCTGCTTGTATTAATATGTTGGGAGATTTTATTTCCTGCTCTTCCAAAAAAAATGAAAAAAAAAAGGCAGTGTGATATAATCCATCTAGTGGCATAATATAGCCCACCCAACTGGAGACAGGACTTGTGACTTGGAGTGCAGCTGCAAGGTTATAATCAAGCAGAAGCGAGTGTTTTTCTCCAAAATCTCAATGGGATTCTTCTTAGCTGCTTAACAACAGAGAGTTGGTTTGTCATCCTTGCTTCTCACCGTAATCTTCACGTGTGCATGAAGAAACAGTTTTAGCTGTTTTATCGTTCAAGGGTAGATGCTTCAGGCTGGCGAGCTACACTGATGTACACGTTGTGAAGTTCTGACCCCTTGACACTTTGTGAATAAATGTAGCACTCGCTAAATAACTGCAAAATCATCTTTTTTCAGCTGTCAAGTTTAGGTTTCGGGTATGCATATTTATATCCTAATTCTGAAAATGACTGCTGATTTTGTTGTGAAGCGTGGTGGGTCGGTCTGCTCAGAGCTCATCTTAGGACTGGGATCTTTAGGAGCATCAGTCCATCTCTGTAAACAGAAAATATGTTGTGGGAAAATATTCTCTTTCTGTCGCTTTTAAATGATTAATTGTCTATTTAGATTTATGAAAAAGCATCATTAGAGCTGGATATCCATTTAGTTAAAATAACACCCTACTGACTGACTATTTAATATATGTTTTCTGTGTTTGTATATGCCGTGTCTCTGTAGAGTAAGTGGGGGGAATCTCCTTGTGCATGAACGCAAGCGTCCCATATATATCTGCATGTTTTTGAAATAAAACTAATTTGGAAAAGGGTTTCTAAGAAAAAGTCACTAACAGAAGGTAAATGGTTTTACAGCTAATTTCTGCTTCAAGCACTAGGATGCCTTGCTGTTTTCAGTTCTATACTGAGGACTCAAGAGATACTGTATTTGTTAAATTGATAAATTAATTAGAAATAAGAGCAATTTGGTAGGTTTAGACTTGATGAGGTTCTCCAGAAAAGCCCAGATAGCTTGAATGCGGAGAGAAGAGCCTAAAACTGCTTTGTATTCCTTCTGCACTCAGTAGCAAAGCAACTTTTCTATGAAACTTCTATTTTTTAATAATTTGGGACTCTCAATTTTTTTTTCATGTCACTGTTGAGATGAGTATTAAAATTCAACCTGATACCAGTGCATGCAACTTCATTTGAAGTCAGCAAGAGGTGGTGATGTGACGTAGAGTCTGACAGTCTGAGATTATGGTGGGGGGGATCATTTGAAAGAGTACGGGGCCTCCTGTTTGCTGCTTCTGTAATGAAATCCTGCGTACCAGTATACTGTATGTTTTTGTTGAAAACATGCGCTGCCTTCCAAAAGGCCTGACGGTGAGAGATTGTGCATTTCCTGACAGCCATGACAAAACGATTCCAGCTGTTCTCGAGAGGCGCCTAATGCTGTGCTGAAAATTACTGTTTTGTACATCTTCTTTGGGATTTAAATGCGGGGTGATGTTTATTTTGCAGTATTGTTTAACTGGTTCTTGTTAAATAGTTGTTAGCACAACCCGCGGTTTTGGTAATGCTGTTTTTGTTTGTAATCTTTAAAGGTTGTGCTGGTGAGATGGAACGAACCATTCCAGAAATTAGCAACCTGCGATGCAGATGGAGGAATATTTGTTTGGATACAATACGAAGGCAGATGGTCTGTGGAGCTTGTGAATGATCGGGGGGCACAGGTTGGTATGCATGTTTTCTCTGCAGTCGAGAGTGATCAGGTGCTGAGAGGCAAAATGAAGAGGACAATGAATGGTGCTTTATACCTTTCAAAAAGCACAGGAGAAAAGGAAACATTTCTTTAGTGAAAGGAATATGCAAGAATTGTCACAAAGACAATTTGCAAGGACAGTTCCTTTATGCAATAGCTGTGACATCAGAGCTACAGCTGGGCTAATAGTTGCCCTGTCTAGTTCTGTGCAGTGCTACCTTTTATGAAAACAACAAAGAATTCCTGCATGACCCATATATCTATTTTCTTGTCTTTGATACGTTAAGGTAAGCGACTTTACGTGGAGCCATGATGGGACTCAAGCACTTATCTCCTATAGAGATGGATTTGTGCTGGTCGGTTCAGTCAGCGGACAAAGACACTGGTCTTCAGAAATAAACTTGGAGAGTCAGATCACCTGTGGCATATGGACTCCAGATGACCAACAGGTAATTGGGCTTTTAGAGGTATTAGTTGTGTTGCATTGATACGCTATAGAGTACACCTCTTAAAAAGTTGTTAAGTAAAATGGTCGCTTTGTAAGAGCAGTTACGCTCAAAACTTGTGCTCCCGCAGATAATGAAAATTTAATTCATCCTGTCATTCTCATTAGGCAAATATGATAATGTACCAAGTTACCTATCATCACTTTTCACCACAGTTCACATGCAGTATTATTCAAAGTTAGTTGTTTGAGACAGGAATCTGTAATTGTACCCCTAATTTCTTGATACAGCTATCCTGAAAATGCATTTGAGCAGAGATACAGCCTGGACTAGTAAACATCTGGCTGGCCATTTCTGTATGCAGCAGTTCCAGTGACAGATATGATTATGTCTGCCTTCATGTGAGCAAATGGATCCAATTGACTGAGTGTCAGAGAGACCTCTTAGCCTTATGCAAACAACATAATTTAAAAGAAGGCCATTTTTCCCACCGTTGAGTCCAAAACTTGCTGAGCTTCAAAGTAGCCTGTTAAAAAAATTATTCTTTACTATTTTTCTAAAGTAGTATATGATATTGTTCACATCACCATTTATAGTGGGGCTTGAGCTAGCCCATTGGTTTCATCTGCAGAATTTACAATGGCCCTTTGCCATTCACTGTTGAGCTTACTGGAACGGTCTTTCCTTCCACATGCTTGCTGTCGTTATGGTTACACTGCTCTTTAAAGCCAGGGAGTCTAACTGCCTCTTTTTGAATCTGGGGAGATATAAATCTTGACGATAAATAATTTACTTGAGATCAAGAGGAAAAGACAAGCAGCAGAAGTAGGAGGGGAAACTAAGACCTAATAGCTCTCAGTCCTATGTTTTAAACATAAGGCTACCCCATTTGTGTGACTCTTAGTTGTTGCTGCTGTATTTGGCAGTATCTTCACTTGAGTGTTTAATTTGGGGTGACTGCCTTTAATTCAATTTAGCCAATATATTTGTACTTTCTAATCTGGATGCTCCGTAAGTGGTTATTCCAGAAAACAAACACATGTTCAGTGCCCAGATAAGCGCCTTCGAACATAATGGCCGATTACAGCTGTGTAAAAATACTTGCTTGAGTTACAGACTCTGCTGCTGGTAAACTGACTGAAACAGAGACCAAAACCAGCCACGAGCTTGATGTTGCTCTGCACAGTTCTCCTAACTATGGGGTTTGCATGTTAAGTGATGATGGATCTTTGTACTGTTCTCCAGAGTTGGTGGAAAGAAGTGACCTTCTAAAATGTATTTAGATGTATTTGCCTCTGGAGACACAAGGAAATATGATTCACTGAGGTACTAGGTGAGAGACTATGCTCAGTTTAAACTAAAAATAACAAATTGGGGGGGAAGGACATTGTATATATTACACACAAATAAGCACATATGGAAATGGATACCCTTACTAGCTTATCTCCTTATCTAATTCCTCTCCTGATTTGTATCTGTGCAAATGAGAACAGAATATTATTCTAGTCTAGAGTAGCTTCAGCTTCAGCCTGTGGTTGAAACTCTATAGTTAACACTTCCCAAAGTCTTTTGAGAGCCTAGAGATGGGATGAGCACTGGAGAGATGGCCAGGGTGGAGTACGCTCCTACTGAAACTGAGCATATAGTTGTATCTTTTAACTGATTTGGTACATGCTTTGCCCTGAGGAAGGTATTGGCTGATTTTATTAATACTAGATGTAACTGTTCTGCATTTTCTTTCAGGAAGAGAGTGGTATCATTCTTGTTGTGGCTCTGTTGTTTTTTTAGGATTTCTTGAGCTCTCCTTGTGTGAGGATGAACTTACTGTGAGTCATAGGACAGTTGATACAATCTATTTGACTGAAGCACTTTCTTTCTCAGCATCATATGTCATCAGATGATCTTCTCCTAAGGTCATCAGCAGATTTTTACTGTGGTTCACACCCAGGTTTTGAGTCTGGATTTTGAGCTTTGAGCTTCTTCAACTAATTCAATGCATGGGCCTTTTGATTGTGATTCTGCATGTTCATTGTAGAGGACTAGAAGTTAATTTTCTCTCTTCTGTTGTGTGTCTGTAGTCCTGCTCCTGTGGAGGCCTTTAGGTGTTTCCTGCTCCTGTGCACTATAACCAGAGCACGCGTCTGGCCGAGGCACAGAGCCCCATTATACCAATGGGCTCTTCAGGATAATAAGCAAATACACAGAATAGGAAGACTTTACATGACTGGGTCCTGTGGATCTTGAGCAGAGTGCCACACTTGTGTTAACTAGGATGGATGGGATCACTCAGGAGTGTGACCTTCCTTTCACTGTTTTGAAATGTTTATTTCAGGGCTACAAGAAGCTGTAGTAGAGCCTCCTTCCTCGGGGTTGTGTGGAGTATTTTTCTGGTGAGAAGGCTCACCTAGGATTATGTAGGGATGAAAAGTATATTTGAAATGAAAAGTAAATTTAAAATATTGGAGAATGCTGTCCTCTGTCTTGAGACAGTTCTGTGGTGTCTTGTTTGCAAAGAGGGAGTATACATTCCAAGTAGATTGAATGACTTCCCAAGTGAGAAGAACTTGAGTTTTGTCTAGCCAAAGGGTTTATTTATAATTACAGAAGCAGTGACAGTAACTAATTGAAGATTTTTCCTAAGCCCACAAGTCTCATAAAATGTCTTTCCAGCGCTTCATCTCCCCTCCTGTGTGCTTGCTCAGCTCCTAGTGACATTTTTCGATCAACTTCTGCTGCCCTCAGGCCATCCTCTCCCTCTCCTTCTCCCAGATTTTACCTATTAAGGAGGCTTATCTCTGTTCACAATGAGAGAAAGGCACAGTGTCAGAGAACCGAGTGAGAACTGTAGAGGGTCTGATTATCCTCTTGTTTATAGCAATATAGTGTAACTCCCTGGACTTCGCTGGGATTGTTTCTGTTGCTGTTTCTGTGTGTGAGATGGGAATCAGAAGGAAATCACTCTCCAATAGAGGGAAGCCTTGATGGAAATGAATGAATATATTTTAATTCTTGGGTATCCCAAGAGGTGCTATTAATCTATATTTATTCCCTGCATCTCAGCTGGTGTAAATTACTAGACTTTTCTGACAGCTGTTAGAGCCCATTTGTCTTTCCCCCCCCTCCTCTGTCCTGTTGTAAGCTTTTATTTGTGGAAATTCAGGGACTGGCCATGATTCTCTTTGGCCAGGACATGACAGATAACAGGTACGTGTGAACTTTGCTAGCGCACTTCCTTCTGTTTGCTTTGAAAATAGGTATACCATCAGTTAGCTAATTTGATTGGCATCCTGCCGGGTACAACATTAACTTTCTATGTGATCCCATCACAGCACAATATGCATTAGCAGAAAGAATGTGTAAATACAGGCCCCAAGTTTCAGCCTATTCTGTGTCTAATCATACAAATTCATGGTGGAAGAGAAAGGCAGCACAGCATTAGGAACAGGTACCATGTACACTGCAGGGTCTTAGGAGGCACTGGAAGAAAACCTGTGAGACCAGTAGCAGCTGAAACAGATTCGTCTCAAAACGCAGGGGGCGGGAGGTTTGTATGTTGCTTTTTTAAAAATCTCATGTAGTTTGCAGTAGCTGTGCAGGAAGGCAATTTCTACGCTGTTACGTTAGCTCTCGTTGCTCGCTGTCCCTACTCCCATGGCAACCACAGACGCTTCAGCATCTTTTTCCCTGACAGGCACGAGGTAAGGGCAGGCTTCAGCTCCTTCGCCCTGCCTGCGGCACCCTGCCTGCGGCACCCTGCCTGCAGCACTTCAGGGTGGAGCCTGGGATGCAGAAAGGAGCTTCGTGTGAAGGAGGGGACGCGTGCTACTTTCTGGGTCCAGCAGTGTAGTTGGGTGGGATCTCTGTGCTAATACAGGACGTCCCTGGTGTCTTAGCTGTCCCTGGTAGGATCAGCGCCGCGCTGTGCCAAGTGGCTGCTGTGAGGTAGCAGCTACAGCACAATTCTCACCAGGAGGTGGGAGCTAATTAACAAGGAGTGCTGTCAAATGGTTACCGGTGGCATCAGATGTTTCATGAGCTTGGCTCTCAGGCTCCTTGGTTTTGGTGTGGCTTCAGTCCCTGGCAGGAATTTTAACTAATAAATCCGTTATAGTAGAGTTTGCATTTGGTTTCCCCCCTTTTTTATCTGTGGACTATGATTTTCAGTTGCTACCACCTTTTCAGGGAAATAGTCGTTCTGAACAACTCCTGAGCTGAAAGTAGGGATAGTAGCCTTACCTAGCTTCCAGAACATGACTTAAAAATAAGGAATTTATTATTGAAAATGTTGTATCTGTTTGGGCCACGATGTCATCTTCTCACCTATGTCTTCTTTTGCTTGCTGCTGTGGAACAAGGAGCTTCTGCTTCCATTCACCCTACCATTTTGGTTTGAATCAGGTGCTGTAGCGCACGTCTGAGTCAGGCAGTGCTATTGCAGTAGTCACACCGATCAAGTTTAATTATGCTCAGACATCTAGCTGTGTGGAAAGAAAATCTTGAAGACAGCCTTCTAATGAGTTGACAGAATGATGAAAGGGAGCTACAAACAGGCAACTGGGAAGGCAAATATTTACCTTAATTATTATGAAGGGAAGGAAGGACAAACTGAAAATAATACAGCCTGTAAAATTAGAAAGTATAAGCAATTATTTTGATCTTTATTAGAATACTTCTTGTCCCTATTAAGAATCTTTACAGGTTCACATAAAGGAGCCTTTAAAATACCAGGAAATACCTGTATTTTTGTGTCTTAACATACAAAAATGCATCTTTTCCCCCATCCATTCAGGGTTCAGGGACTATCAAATGACCTTACATCTGTATTCACAATGACCAGAGCCACTCAGAATTGCACAGTAAGATACAGTCTTTGAGGAAGAATGGGAAGATTTACTTTCATTGATGGATGAATTACTCAAATTACTGAGAAAAATGGCTAGGGGCTTTTTTATAGCATTGAAGGAAGTGTCATTAATTAACTAGACAGTTTATTCAAGCCACAAG